CGGGGGACCGCTCCCCGCTCTCGAGCCGGAGCGAGAGGCGCCGGTCGGGGAGTGTCAGAGCAGCTACAGGTGCTCCGTATCTGTAACAGCAGCGTACACGATAAACAACCCGGTAACAGTCGCCGTTCTTTTTGCGCTTGATCATGACATTCGTGGTAGAAAGTACGATAGATGGCAAGCGCAAAGGCGACTGCTGTCTCGCTGTTCATTACATGCCGTGCTGTTGTTGCAAGCGTGAAGTGCATGAAGCTGGTGTAGCTTAGCCTAGCCCCGACAAGGGACGGCCCGCGGGAGCTTGCTGATTGGCTCTTCGGAGGTCCACTTTCTCCGCGGGCCACACTAATATTATACCTTCATATTAAGGTGCGGGCCACAAAATATTGTACTGCGGGCCGCACTTGGCCCCCGGGCCGCGAGTCTGAGACCCCTGTGTTAAGACATTTTAGTAAGCCGAATGGGTGAGAATGTTGAGATTCATCCTATATTACAAAGACACATATAAAATAAAAGTCTTTTGATACCTCCTTAAAAAAAGAGAGAGAAAAGATCCACAATGGAAGCCTTCAGCTTCCAAAATCAATTTTTGTGTCTTTCACACATTTCTGTAATATAAGAAAGAGAGTCATCTGCATATTGTTAAACTTCAGCAAATGACAAGTACTATTTATGGGTTTATGGCACAGTATTCTTTTTTTTTCTTAATTCTCTGTGAACATATACATGTGTAATCAAGTATGGTGCCGTAATAATCGAGCGGGGAGCCACTTCCACATCTAGGATATGGTTAGTAAGTAAAAACTAAAACATTTCTGAGTAGTGGCCTGCAGCTGAATATTATATGATACCCATACAGCAGAAGTTCTGGAAGGGGGGGCGGGGGGGTGAAGTGCCCGCGGGTGTGAGGGGCTTGCTGGACATAAGTGTACCACTGCCACTGTAACGCTTGAATGATAACATTTTACGATAGATGACTGAGAACCTATGCAGACATTAACAGTACTACTTAAAGTATGAATTTATCACCTCAGGAGATTCAGATTTGTCATACCCTCTCGGATAATATGTTGCACTCAGCGATAATAGGTGAGTTTCACTTGTGATTACGTCAACACAGAATGAGTTAAGTCAATAAATGTTGGGATGTGAAGACTTGTACCTGTGTCAGAGTCAGTCTGGAAAAGGAGAGTCCTGGAGGATAGTACATCATGAGGCTGGTGTTGTAAGAATCGTCACCCCTGTTGGACAACTTTATGGACAGGTTAAAGTAGTTGTCCTCAGCTACGTATAATGTTGGTGTCCTACAAGAGACATGACTTCCCTTTACTACCAGCATACACTGTAACATAGCAGTTCCTGTAGTGTGTATGTGTTACCATAATTTCCGGTCTATAAGCCACTGCTTTTTTTCACACGCTTTGATCAATTTTGTTAGGCTACTGTGCTACATTAGTAGCGTATGTCTGTCTGTGAACGGCTATGTAGGTACAGGTGTGTGGGGCGTGCGAGAGAGAGAGAGAGAGAACGGTAGCGAGCGTTGAGCGCAGTTTGAGCCCCGTCATGTTGAAGTGTGAGTTGGTTATACAGGAGCTGTTAAAACTCTGTTTATGTTCTGTTGTGCTCGGTGTGGCTGATAATAAAGACCCCAACTTCCTTGTTTCTGTTTACCTCCGCTGTGGACAAGCACAAAGTGAAGAGAGTTAGCCCCAGAGCTAATGTTAGCTTTGGCCCTAGAGCAGATCACTACGTCGCTCCTGTGCATTCCAACAACAGTTGGGGTACCGAGCAGGAAAGAGCTAACAGTGCTTAGCATAAATATTCACCCCCTTAGATGTTTTACACTTTTATTGCTTTAATAAATCACACAAACATTTATTGAAAGTTCTATAAAGTAATGTTAATAAAACAAAATTATATAAAGAAAAATAATTGTTTGCATGGTTTGGGGATGTGTCTCAAGTGATTGTGGTATAAAACATCTATGTCTGAAGGGTCCATGCACATGTGGACCGTATGAATCTGCCTGGATCAGTCCACCCTTGTAAACTGAGTGACCATGCAAGAAGGAGACCAGTGAGAGAAGCCACCAAGACCCCTACGACTTCTCTGAAGCCATTACAAGCTTCAGCTGCTGAGATGGGAGAGACATATATGTGCATATGTGCATATATCTATAGCAACTACTGCCTAGTTTCTTCACTGGTCAAAGCTTTATGGGACGGTGGCAATCAGAAAGGCATGTGAACGACTCCATGGTCAAGTGGAAGAAGATTCTTTGGTCTGATGAGACCAAAATTGAGCTTTTTGGCCATCAGACGAGACGTTATGTTTGGCGGAAACTAGACACAGCACATCGCCAAAAACACAACAGTGAAGCATAGTGGTGGCAGCATCATGCTGTGGGGATGTTTCTCAGCAGCAGGCCCTAGAAGGCTTGTAAAGATAGAGGGCAGAATGAATGCAGAATACGCCAAAATCCTGGGGGACTGCAAGAGAACTACGGCTTGGGAGAAGATTTCTTTTCCAGCAAGACGATGATCCAAAGCATACTGCATAAGATACACAGAAATGGTTTAAAAAGAACCAGGTAAATGTTCTGGAGTGGCCAAGTTTGACTTGCCCAGACCTTAATCCTATAGAGAATCTGTGGCTGGACTTGAAAAGGCCTGTTCGTGCCCGATACCTGCGCAACCTGACAGAGCTTGAGCAGTTTTACAAAGAAGAATGGAGCAAAATTGCAGGGTGCAGATGTACAAGACTTATAGAGACTTATCAACACAGACACAGTGCTGTGATTGCAGCCAAATGTGGATCTACTAAATACTTGAAGGGGGTGAATAATTATGCAAACAATTCTTTTTTCTTTATGTAATTTTGTTTCATTAACATTACTATATAGAACTCTGTTTTGACTTTGACATGAAATATTTCTTTTCCAATACAATTTTTGTGATGAAAGCCAAATTTGATTGACCATGCTTAATTTATGAAAGCAATTAAAGGTGTAAATCATCCAAGGGGGTGAATACTAAGCACTGTATTGAAATTAAAAGAAAACAAAAACATCTTTCTGTGTAACAACTTTTTTGTGTAAATATCCCATGTTACAACGTGGACAAATGTAGCTTATGGAGAAGTGCGACCTATATATGTAAATGAGTGGGTGCGGCCTATATTCAGCTGCGCTCAATAGTCCGGAAATTACGGTATTTATATATACATACATGAAGTCAAAATCCACATCAAGTTCAGCAATACAGGTGTCATGTTTGGCACACTGCCTTTCAAATGGAATCTGTGAAAAGTAAAGGAGATTTTCCCTTACAGTGAAACATCAAAACACCTCATCATTTATATATAAATATAAATGCGATATGCTACACCTGATAGAGTATTCACTTTACATACCTCAACTACAGCCTGGTTTTTGCTGTCCACATTCAGCATGTTGCTCGCACTTTCACTGTCCACTTGGGAGAAATTTAATTTGATGCTGATGGGTGTTAGAGTGTCTTTCACACATTTCTGTAATATAAGAAAGAGAGTCATCTGCATATTGTTAAACTTCAGCAAATGACAAGTACTATTTATGGGTTTATGGCACAGTATTCTTTTTTTTTCTTAATTCTCTGTGAACATATACATGTGTAATCAAGTATGGTGCCGTAATTTCTGAGTAGTGGGCATGACACAAAATAATTCAGAACCACTGTTTTATACCATCATGGCAATGGTGTAGTTGTAGCAGACTTTGTTTTCCATTAAATTGACGTAAGACGTGAAATTCCTGGCTTTCTTGTCACTTTTGAAGAACCCTCGATATGTTTGTCTCATCGGATCCACATTCACAATGTATGAGATGTTCAGACCCGCTGACATTGCCTCTGTGAAAATTCAGACGAAAATTTAAAAATATTGGAGTGACAGTGAGACAGTGACAAAATATGAAAAGAAATATGAAACAATATGATATAAATATATAAATATATATAAATATATAATAAATATATAAATATATATGTATATAAATATATAATATATAAATATGAAATAAATAGTAAAAAAAGAGTCTCAGCATCTGTTGAGAAGTCACAGCACTGGTCTTGTTTCTCACCAGCTTTGCAATTTGTCGTTTCCACCATTTGAAAGCAGGCTGTCAGATTACCCATTGGCAGATGGTCGTCAGTATTGGCCACACAGTCAAACCTCTCAGTGCTGATCTCCTCAGGTAGGAAAGAGAGGTGTGCCAAGACATTAAAGACAGGCCTGGACCTAAAACACATTCAACGGTATTAAAGAGAAGAACAAAGTGGTAGAACATTTGGAATTAGCATAATGAGACTACAAACTGATTCTTAGTCGATAAACCTTAATACAACAGCCGCTCCTTGTGATCCAATCACAATATCGGTCAGACCATCCTCGCCCAGGTCAATCCCTCCATCAACTGCCTGTCCAAAGAATTTCAGTCCAGGATCAATGTCCTGTCCCCTGATTCTCTGAAATGACAGATAAATTAGTGAATCACTTGTTGTTCGTTGAGTCTCTGTCTTTTATATATATATATAAAGGAACACTGAACATAGATTTGCCATTTCAATACCCCACTTTCTGTACTGCATTAGAAAGTTCCTTCCATGTGTGCCTGGGTTTTCTGTTGGTGCGGTGGGGCTCCAAGATACAAGCTCTCCGAAATACTTTAGTTTTCAAGCTACAAGTAAGCAACATTTGCAAGATTTTCCTCATGATACGAGTTATTAGTGCTCAACCAAGGTCCATTTTTCCACTCAACATTGTCGTGCTGTCGTGCTTACAGTTCCTCGCTGGGTTATTTTACCCAATGCTCTCTCTCTCTCTCTCTCTCTGTCGCTCTATCTATCATCTAAATCAAGTCCTCACTCTCAGTCCTCCTACACTTAGTGGTCTTGCTCATTGTCCATCACTGGTTTATTTGGCCCAATAATTAATATTATTTTATATAATCAATATATTTGTTTATATCTATAGTTTTTAATGTTTAGATGGGGAATATTTAATATAATTAATTAACATATTTCTGGGGGGCTAGAACAAATTCACTGGTTTTTAGTCATTTTATTCAGGAAAATGCAATCAAGATTGGTGGTAAAGATGGTGCAAACCTGTCATCAGTTACTCAGTTACTGCTGGAATTTACTCGAGTTACACATGGACCCGTAAAAGGATTTAGCCATGAAAAGAGAATGAAATAATTTTACAGCTTATCCATGGCGTCCAACTTAAATTTTTGTCAGCATTTGAAAATGCTGACAAAAATATTATATGTTCGGCTGCAAAGTATTAAAAATAAGCCGCATTACTAGTTTCCTCTTTTTGTTGTCACCTGGCTGAATGTGCTGCGTATTCCTTTCTGCCTGTCCCCAAGGAAGATGTAAACCACCCCTCTGGAATCATCATCCAATGGGGCACCAATGGCAACATCTGTGAGTCCATCTCCATTCAGATCTGCCAGGCTGGATATGGTGGTGCCCAATCTACCTACAGACGTTGCTTTTATATTTAACTCACTTTTCAGTTGTATCTGTGGGGAAATTCAAGTGTTACTGAACAATTGGGAAAGTAATCTCTTAAATCTCTTAATTAAAAACTCATGCAAAAGACACCCACTTCATTCGTTAGGGCATAGACGTAGACCTGGCCTTCTCCCTTCTCAGTAGGGTGGTAAAACATCGGAGCTCCCACCAGGAGGAAATCAGTGTCACCATTCAAGTCAATATCTACTGAGCAAAGTTCTGCTCCAAAGTAAGAACCAATCTGAAAATGTGACACACAAATTGTCTGTCTTTCTACTAAATAATGCTTTTTCTAGTATCCTCTACCTAAAATATCTTGAATTTCTGACTATTTTCTTATTACATAATGGAATTTTAAGAAAATTCAAATAAACAAAATGGAGGAATGTTATTTCTATACTTCACGGCTGACTTCCTGGAAGCATTCCTGGAAGTTTTGTGGACAATCCCAACATCTGTATATCAACACACAGTTTTTTATTTTACAGTAACAACTTTCAAATTTGGTTAATAACCAAATCTATCCTTTACTTTCCCTTTGGGACTTTTGAATCTCACCATCTCCCTTGCATCTACCAATATTTCTGTACATAGATTCAGATACAAATACCAGAGCATACTATAAAACCTATAAAAAGCCTCTACCAACCTGATCGCCATTTACTCTTTGGGCAGTCTTCCACTCCCTGCCATCATGCCTAAAAAGTACAACCTGTCCCAAGTGCTTAAATCTTGGCGCACCGGTGAAATATATTGGTGTGTTATCTCTCTTCCCCACAGAAAGAGAGTATCCTGCAACAATGACAGGCACATGACAATTTCTGTAAACTTCTCACTCAGCTTGAATTCTTAAGACTTAATTTCCTACCCATGTATGAGTCATTCTGCATGTGCGGATCTTCAATTTGTATTTCTTTGTTGTTACTGTGCTCCTGTAGAGAGCCACTCCAGGTATGCGATCCTACTGATCCAAGGATCAAGGTACCCTGTAAACAAATGTACACTAGCTTGGTTGGTCTTCTGGTCATAAAATTATGACCAATATAATCATAATAATAACAAACAAAAGTAATCATGCTGTCAATCAGTTACATGACAAAACATAATTACAAAAAAAGTATTTATTTTATTTTATTTTTGGTAGGTAGGTTGATAAATATTAAAATGGAAATGGAATAATCTTTCAGTTAGACCCAAGTTTATATTCAGTCAAAATGTTAGCTTATCTTAAATGAGCAAAATGAGAGAAAAATAACATCAAATCCTGAAAAAATTAAAAAGAAATTCAGAAATAACTACATAATAGCTAAATAAAGGCATCTTACTTACATTACTAAACCAAACTAGAACAGTAGCTAAAAATTAATAATTAATTAGGGAAAGGTTATCAAAATATTAGCATTAAGAAGTAAGCTAAACCCATTTGCTAAAAATCAGCAGAATATTGCATAAACAATATACTATATTTTCCGGACTATAACTCACTTTTGTCTTGGTTTGTGACTTACACTCGGGTGCGACTTATATATTAAAATATATAATTTCACAAGTTTGTTATTTTCACTGACAGTCACGAAAGGGCACTTTACTGTAGGGTTGTATGCCAGTTTCTGCTACTCCTGTAACACTGACAATGTACATGTTCGTTGTTTTCACACTGACAGCCGCTAGATAGCACTGGTGCGACTTTCACTACGGAGCGACGTATATACAGTATGTTTTTTTTTTCTTCTTGATTATGCTTTTTTGTTTTGCTGGTGCCACTTATACTGCGGAGCGACATATAGTCCGGAAAATATGGTAACCAAAATTAGTCCAAAAGTCTCACCATTATAAATAGCAAAAGGACACATAAAAATTCACATTTTTTGCTCTGAGAATTCCTGTTTCATAAGAATGTGTCATACAGTCTTCTGGACTTTACTCACATTGTAGTAGACTACACTGCAGCCACTCTGAGACAGTTCATTTGTCATGTCTCCTGCTCGAGCCACACTTGATCCTGAGTTGTTAAAACTTGTTAATTTTATGACTTTGGTAGAAACATATTCACATGTAACATGGATTCAAAATGAAACCTTACCTTCCATTTTAAAAATCTTCTTCTGGAATCTTTCCAGTATATCAGTCAGTCCTACGTAGTGTTCAATTTTGAAGGCATATTTCTCTAGTGGTTGTGAAGAAATGGCTGTAAAAGCATCCAGTTTAGCCGTTTTGACCTGAAACCAGACATGTAGCTTAATGTTTTCGTTCAGGTGAAAAGTCCATTTTTTAAAATTTTTTTTCACTACAAAATTTGAAAGAATTAACATCAGAGGACCTTACACTCATATGGTCTTTAAATTTAAGTTCAGTTCAAAATGACAATACACAAATGATAATACACAAGGGTTACCGCAATGACAAAGCGAATGATTCCTTTCTTAACGTATCTGTCGATAATGCCATTTTCTTTATATGGATCAGTCGGATCTCCATCTGTTATTAGAACCAGAACCTTGGTTGCATCAGGAGAGGCTCCAGCTTTTGGATTTTCCAGGATATCATTTCTGAAACAAATGAAAGTAGTAATTCTAATACTCTATATACCAAAAAATAATGTTAATTTTAGTCTATATTCTAATAAATAAATATAGGGGAAAATTTACAAAAAAACGATGAAGGGTAAATACTTGTACATACAACACAAATTGTAGGGCTGTGTAAGTGTTGGTGAGTTCTTTCATGTGGTTCTCTTGGTCAAGTTTCTTATAAGCAGTACCAGCTTGATCGTCGTTGAAATTAAAAACTGTACGGTGGAATGAGGAAAACTGGACCGCTGCGAACTGGTAGGAAAAAGAAAAGAAAAGAAAACAGGGAATTTTTTTAACGAATGCTGTGAATGAATTGTGCTCTGTTACAGTAAAGTAAACTGACCTTGATGGTGGTGTTCCTCAGGCTATTCATGATATGTTTAATGAACGACTTATTTTCCTTGAACTCCATTTCTGACATGCTGTTAGATCCGTCGAAGAGAAAGACCAGGTCCACTGTCTTCTTTGTACAATCTATAAAACACTCGATGTTAAAGTCAAACACTGCACACAAGAAATTGACGGAGCCATGTGTGTGTAAAAGTAAAGTTTGGGATGTGTAACTTGAGTTGGAAATGTTTATTGTGGCTGTTTAAATGCAAAGTAAGTAAAATGTGACTACAGGTGAAGCAAATGAATGATGAAACCCATTTGTGAAAAAAAAAAATCTTCATGTTCTCCAGTTGGATGATATAAGGTCGGATATTCTAATCACTTCTGTCACTGTTGTCCGTACAGTACCGTATTTTCCTGACTATAAGTTACACTTTTTTTTTCATCCTTTGGGAGGGTTTGCAACTTATACTCAGGTGCGACTTATATATTAAAATATATAATTTCACATATTTGTTATTTTCACACAGATAGCCCGAAATGGCACTCTAGGCTTGTGTACCCGTATCTACTACTCCTGTATCACTGAAACTTTACATGTTCGTTATCCTCACACTGACAGGCACTAGAGGGCACTCTAACTGGCTGGTGCGACTTATACTCCGGAGCGACTTATAGTAGGAAAATACGGTACATTATTAAAAAAATAAATCCCGCTCTTCAAGTGTCTCTTACCTTGGAAAGCAGAAGTCACAGGGGTGAAAGAGTTAAGTTCATAAGTTGTTTTGTAACACATGCCATTCAGATAGATGTTGTCATTACACTCGTGGGCCACACTGGGACTGCATACCTGAGACAAATTGAATTCAACAATTACATTCCGGGCAGGACAATAAAAACTGTTCAAGTTTATGTGGTTTTCTTACAGCAATTTCAGAACCTGTGGCGTCAGCAGCAATGGACAAGCCCAGATATTTCACAGTGAGATTTTTATCTTTGTAAGGCACATCTGAAACAGTGGTATTGGGTTGAGAAAGAACAATCAGAAAGTTTTTCAGTTATGGAATGGACCGTTTATGATAACCCTTTCATGCATGACGCTCACTACAGTGGACAGCTATTAAGATGTCATTTTCTATGATAAGAATAGGTTTTGATGGCAGTGTTGCATATAAGCCTCTACAGTGGATTCTCAGGCGTCCACTGTAGTGACCGTCATGCATGAAAGGGTTAATGTCATAGTTTTGAATGTTTGATTTATTATGCAAATATGACAGCAATTAGACCTGTGGCTCTGGATTTTTGTTTTTTACCTTGAAGATCAAAGCAGTGGCTGCTTTGGTTTTTGTTTGGTTTGCAAACTTTTCCTGATCCATTACGCGTTAGGGGTGCAGTAACAAAGATCCTAAGAAGAGGAGCAACAATTGCAATCAAAGTAATCTTAATTCTTAACAACTGGTCAGCCTTTCACAAGAATAGTTGCAAGAGTTTGTTTGAGGTTGTGAACTAAATTGTGAGGTTTAGTGCATTGTTAAACGCACATTAATCGCTTTGTTATCGTTGTTGTCACGTACCTTTACTTTGCTCAAATTCCACTCAAGTAAAAGTAAAAGTACCATCTCAAAATCTACTCAAGTAAAAGTAAAAGTTACTTAGTTACTTTAAATGACTTGATGCAGAAAAGATGCAGATAATCAACAATTTAAATACAAGTGGTATGTTTTGAGAATTCTATGATTCATTTGAAAGCGTATACTGCAGATTCAAGCCACTAAAGCTCACTCGATAAATGACCAAATTCATAATGTCAAAACATAGAAAGAAAAATAGAGCCCAGTTTGTTTCCACTGGCTTGGATACGTTTGATTTTGGTTTCATTTTTCTGTTTAAATTGGACCATACAATTCAGAACGTTGCACTTAATACCAATTGTGCTTTATATTGTTGTATTATTATGTTTGTTAAGTGGTCCTTAGTGGTTCGTATAAGCATTCGAATGGATCATAGATACATTCTCAACTCATGCCACTTGTATTTGAATTGTCGATTAAAAACAACACTTACTTTACTTAATTACAATTTTGAAGTACTTTTTCCACCACATGCTTTTGCAGGTTTGACGTGGAATTTTTGACAGTGACATCTCTGTCCACATCGCATGATAGTTAAGTTATTGCCTCGCTTGCATTTGAAAAACAAAGATCTGGCTGAGATATAACTCTCTGAGTTATCTGCTGCACGGGAGCTCTCTGCTTAGCAATTCTCAACCTCAAGCTTTTTGTTTCAACGTTCTTCGGCTAGATTAAAATAGCGGGAAATCCGAGCTCGCACACCCACGCAATTTTCTTTTAGTCAATGCAGATTGTTTTTCCCGCATTTAATTTTTTACTCAGTAACGGGTTCTTTTTCAATGTAGCAAAGTATAATACTATAGTCAAAATTAAGTAAAAGTAAAATTACCTATTGCCAGAATTACTTAAAAAATGACACACTTTTCACGAAAACCTCTCAGTTACACTAATGTGAGCAAATGTAATTCGTTACTTTCCTCTGCTCATCAGCATATGTCCAAACCCTCTTAACTTTGCCTGCCCATTGTTCATCCAACGTTACAAAGACATCCTGTGTTGTAACCAAGCTCATTATGAAACTGTCAGTTTGACTGTCTGCCGTCACCACTAACGTTCGAGTTGTATTTACCGCCAACAACACGTTAAAAAAAGGTTCAAGTTGAAAAAGTTCTTGTGTTCTTGTTTTTCAGTAAAGTGTTTCAGTAGGTCAAATAAAAAAAAAAAAAATCACCTTTACATTTGTTTTACATCTGTGTTACTAGTCATTTTAGTCGATGCTAACAGTTTTAATTCATAGTGGTATTTTTTTAGTTGCCAGGATGTGGGTTGCAATGCCGGGACATGTTTTTGTCTTCACAGTTTGAGAACATCGCACTTCATCATTTAATTTCCCATCCACGTCACAAGTAATGGGCTATTTAGTGATAACAAAAATACGAATTTAAAATTTTAACTCACCCTTTGTTAGTTCCAGATGTAAACTGAAGGACTTTGTATCCATAGAAATCTTTTCTTTCACCAGTGTAAACCTCTGGATTTTCCACATCAATGTTGAAAGACACAAAAAGAGGGATGGCTGCAATAAATGAATAAAAATAAAATTAAATAAATTCGGCCACTAGCCGTCATGCAGAAAAGAGCAATAGGGATCCTTCATAATGTTGGCTATCAGGAACACACAAATTTACTATTTCTTCAGTCCAGATCACTAAAATTTTCAGACATCGTGAATCATCAAACAGCACAATTAATGTTCAACGCTAAGCGCCCAAGTGCGCCAAAGAACTTTTATTTAAACACAATTGCCGTAACTTATCCTAAATTCCTTTGCTGTCCTTATCCTTTACAATATCGGCACATCAGATATCGGCCAAAAGTTAATATCGGGCATCCCTAGAATCAACTCCAACATTCAAGATTTTGCACAACAGTGAGTAAAATGTAGCACAAACAGACAGTTCAGCCTCTAGTTTGCCATTTAAATAAGAAAAAAAAAAGTTCGCTAAAAATGTGTAAATTCAGTAAAAATAATTAAATTTAGAGTTATATGCCGCTTTGTATTTTTGTACATAAAATAATTAAAATGTAGTTTGGATATAGTTCAAAGGTTTGGGCAAAGACTGGTGTCAACAATAACAATCAGATGGCCAAAACTAACTAATAACTATTACTATGACTAGAAGATTAATTTGACTAATTTGTGATATAGGAAAACAAATCCCATTTTAAAAATTACTAAAATATACACTGTAATTTATAAAATGTGAGCAAAATAACCTTAAAGCTGCAGAAACATATATGAAAACAAGAATTAAATTAATTTATAAACGTTCTTTAAATATATGATGATCTTTCCTGAATGTAGGAAAAAGTTGACAATTAAAAGTCGGCAACGAATTCCCCTCTTTGGGACAAATATACTAAGAAAATGGTAAAAAGATTTGAACAAAAACACAGTTTATTCAATTGATTTTTTCTTTTTCAACCAAAATACCTGTTTAAGAAATTTAAACCATTAAAAAAATGTATTTCAAATCAACTTAATTCCTTTCCATTTTAGCACATAATGTAAAAGTTTGTAAAACATGAATTATCTCACCCAAAGCCACCATGTAGGTGAATGGTAAAAAGTGGCTGCACTCTGGCATCATTCACATAAGGCTGCGGTTTCTGCTTTGTGCGAATGTTCTCGCATAACACAGCGGAACATGCAATGCTTCCTGTTTTGTTTCACTTTGGGTGTGTGTTTTCCGGACCAGGTGCTTGTGACTTCTGCTCTCATAATGCTCTGCAGCATTATGTTAACAGAAGAAAAGATTTCCCTAGGATCAGTCAGTAAAGACAGCAACTGTCTTTACGCTGCTTGACTATTTTATGCTAGGATTGCCAACTTTCAGGTCAGTTGGCAGAACTGAGATTTTGTGTCTGGGGAGAGACAGATTGAATAGGCAACCGCAAAAATGAAAGCAAGAACTAAAGATAACGGCCTCCTTTGCAATGTCATTATCAGATATTTATTTTGCACCACCTTCAACGCATCTGTTTTTTGCCAGTCTCTTGTGAACATTTACAGTATTCGACAATATGCTGTGTTACGTTTTATTCATTCCATTCATTCATTCTTGACCTGTTCTTGTGTCTTCCTGTTCTTGTGAATTGGCCCTTGCATAATATTTTACTATCTTCCAACACAGTAGCCAAATAGAAATACAGTGGGGCTTCAAGATACGAGTTTAATCTGTTCCACAACAGCACTTGTATGTCAAACCACTTGTATTTCAATTGCATTTTCCCCATTAAAACCAATTATTTGTGCTAGCCCCCCAGAAATACACTATATTACCAAAAGTATTCGCTCACCCATTCAAATGATCAGAATCAGGTGTCCTAATCCCTTGGCCACAGGTGTATAAAGTGCAAAGAGGTCGCCGACTTTCTGCACAGTCAAAGTCGCAGAGAGCTTCATGGAACGGGTTTCCATGGCGAGCAGCTGCAGCCAAGCCACACATCACCAAGTGCAATGCAAAGCGTCTGATGCAATGGTGTAAAGCACGCCACTACTGGCCTCTAGAGCAGTGGAGACGAGCTCTCTGGAGTGATGAATCACTCCCCTTTACCATCTGCCAATCAGAGGGACGAGTCTGGCTTTGGAGGTTGCCAGGAGAACGATCCATTTCAGTTTTGTTTTGTTTTTCAGGAGCTGGGCTTGGCCCCTTAGTTCCAGTGAAAACTGGAAGGAACTTTGAATGCTTCAGGATACCAAAACATTTTGGACAATTCCATGCTCCCAACCTTGTGGGCACCGTTTGGAGCGGGCCCCTTCCTCCTCCCACATGACTGTGCACCAGTGCACAAAGCAAGGTCCATAAAGACATGGATGACAGAGTCTGGTGTGGATGAACTTGACTGGCCTGCGCAGAGTCCTGACCTGAACCCGATAGAACACCTTTGGGATGAATTAGAGCGGAGACTGAGAGCCCAGGCCTTCTCCACCAACATCAGTGTGTGACCTCACCAATGCGCTTTTGGAAGAATGGTCAAAAATTCCTATAAACTCTCTCCTCAACCTTGTGGACAGTCTTCCCAGAAGAGTTGAAGCTGTAATAGCTGCAAAAGGTGGACCGACATCATATTGAACTCTGGGTTAGGAATGGGATGGCACTTCAGTTCATAGTATGAGTCAAGGCAGGTGAGCCAATACTTTTGGTAATATAGTGTATACTATTAATATATTAAATAAAAATATATCCCTTAGATATAAATAAATATATTGATAATATAAAATAGTAATAATTAAGAAAACATTTTATATTGTTATAAAAATGGGAAAAATAACCAAGTGAGGGGCAGTGAGCGAGACAGCGCCACAGAGTGTCAGGGTCGCTAAGCGTAGGAGAAGGACTGGGAGTGAGGACTCGATTGAGATTAAACATTTACAGTATTGGACAATATGTTCTGTTTCATTCATTCCATTCAATCATTTGCACCCCCTGCTGAAATGGCACTGTGCCCCAGAATCTCTGCAGTACAGTCAGACATCTGTTTTCAGTGTAAACAGTGCAGTTATACTGTATCATTAGGGTTAGATATTAAAGTACCGCAAAATCCGGACGATAAGCCGCTCTTTTTCACACGTTTCGAACCCTGCGACAATAATGCCGCTAATTTATGGATTTTTACTGGCTAGTGAAGTTCATGCCGCTAGCGATCGATGACTTTTCTGGTAGGCCACTGTGTGTTATACTGGTAGCAGTAGTATGTATGTCTGTGAATGTGCTTGGGTCGCACATTGCATGATATAGAGAGGAAGTGAAAGTGGAGAACAGTTTGAACCCTGTCTGAGTTGGTTATACAGAAGCTGTTAAAACACTGTTCATGTACTGTTGTGCTCAGTCTGTCCTGTCTTCTCACTTTATTAAAAAGGAGATGTTGGTGGTTCTTGAGTTACAGCTACTCCACCTATGTTATAAACAGCGGCTGGCATTTTTTAGTTTTTTTTTTTTTTTGGGTAGACAGTTTTCACTTAAGTTTTTAAGCAGAACTAAGTCAGGTTTCAAATTCACTGACAGTTTTCCATCCTTTTTTACACAATGGACCTATATACTGTTTTAACAGATTTTAAAGACTATTTACAAAACAAATACAGTACATTGTTATCAAACACACTTAATTCGTCAGTGATATGTCAGATAACATAAAGATCAGTAAGGATTCTCAATTTTTTTTTTCAACACCAAAAACTTTTGGGCAGATGTGGATAAATAAATGGAAAAAAAATAATTAAATTAAATTATTATTATTTATTGATCATTTATTTATAATAATTATATAATATTAATAAATAAAAATAAACAGCCAGAAAATACAAAGTAATAAGAATAGTTTATAAATAACAAACGTTAAATAATTAATAATAGGCCTGGGTAAAGCTATGAGTTAACCCTGACTTGTATTGGTCTGGCAAACAAAACACAAATTAACTATATTGAGCCCATATCTGGGAAATTCTTGTGTTAGCAGCAGATATGCTGTTAATAGGCTGCCCCCAGCAGGCACCAAGCTCGTGGTTCCTCTGGGAATCAAACCCAGGACCCTCTGCTTCCGAGAAAGGTGTGTCAATCGCTACACTATGGAACCAACACAGAACTGAAACAGTCACATTGACTGTATAAATGAATAAAAGTCTGTATATGTAACATGAATGTTGAACAAGTAAGGCAAGGTCCATAGGTTAGCAACTAGTTACTAGCAAAATATGGCAAAAAAAAAAAAAAAATAGGTAAAGGCTGAGAAATATAGTATGGATATTCTTAACAATATCTAAATGGACCCATTACATTACCGTCTATATACGGTCTATCTGTGCAGACACCATCAGTAAGTAAAGAGAGTTGGCAGCAGGAAATTAGAAATAATATAGCGGAAATAGCCACGTGTTAACAATACATTTTAATAATAGCAAAAAAAAAAAAGTAAAAAAAGCAACCAAAGCCTTAGAATTGTTTGTGTCAGATCTGTGATTCTCAATTATTTTCCCCCACCAGGAGACTGATTTTTTTTCACCCTGTCCCCTCCGAATTGAAAGACTATTAAGAACCTAATGATAAACCTAATAATAATATTTCATTTCATATCTGTAAAAAAACACTGGTTGATTTGCTGCCACCTAGTGGCCGGAGGCTTGTTATTTGAGAATTACAGAGGTAGACTGTGACTCCAAAGGCCGCTGACAGTTGGCTCTGAAAACTCTTAAGTTTGGAAACACCAGCAGCCTAGTAGTAAAGAAATACTAACTTTGAATTCTGAGGTGATTCAGTTCCTTTAACATCACTTATTTATACTGTTGGGGGTATTTGAACCTTGAGAGAAAAGTCAACTATTGGACAGCCTTGTGTGATGCAGCCCAGAGAGATGATGTCCACATGTGGACAGAAAAATGAGGCAAGGTTTTCTGGTGTGACGCCTCCGCTGATTTCTATCAGAACCTGTGGAAAGTCCAGCTTCAGGGAAGCAGCTGTGGCCTGGACATCCTACAGATGAGGG